TGCTCCATCTTTCTCCCCCGAGCAGCCAAGGGCTTCGAACAGCTGACGCTTTCTGATGAACACCTGAATCAAACGCTTGAACCTCATGTGCTGCCTGGACTTCTTTCCCATGCAGTGTCAATTTGAAATGCTTGATGTAAAACTTAATAGATATTTTACATGCTGTATAACCCATTTTAAGTTTAATGAATCATTCAAGCGGAATTGTCAATGTATTTATTATCTTTTAGTCTTAAATTAACAAAGAAATATATCTCTCTTCTTATATCTGCTATCAAATATTCCTGAAATAACTGCAAGTATTGTATATTATTTGAAGCCGTAAAACTGTCATAATAGTGAGACCACCCTACAAACAAACCACAAAATATTCCTTTATGAAATATAGCAAAAAAGTAACATCTTTATTTTATTTTAAGTAATTCTTAGATTTTGGCCTCTAGAAAATTAAAAGTTTTTAAAGGTTAGTTTTTGTTATATTTAGTTGTTTTCAGTTATATTTATTTTTTCATTGAATTATTCCAATCTGACTTTTCTTACCAGAATTTTATTAAATCCGTCAACTTTGTCTTCATAAACAGAAGTCAAGAACTGTATAGTAATAAGTGTTTAAATATCATATTTTCTTTCTCTGAAAGGGTCACACAATATTACTTAGTAATAGGTATATTACCCTATAGGAAACCTATGTATTTTATGACAAATAATTATCTGGCATTGTAGTGGGTTGAATTATAGTAGAATACTCATCCCCCCAAATATATTTCAAAAACTGAAACCTCACTATCCATAAATTTTAACTTATTTGGAAATAGGGTATTTGCAGATTGAATTGAGGGCCCCAAGATGAGATCATACTGGGATAGAAAAGCAAGCCAAATTTCTTTCTTTTGGGTAAATAAATTATGACTCGTGGAAACTCCACACTTCGCAAAGTAGACTTCTATATATGGTTGTCTTGGCTGCAAGCAGGCGAGGCCTTTCTCCCATGGTTCCACTGGGCAAGGTTTAACCACCTACACTTAGGTTAGTAGTTGAGGACGAACTGTTCGTACCACTCAGGGTCTTCTTTGTGTAATAGATGTTAACTAAGCCCAACGTCATCTGTCCTTATATATGAGGACATAGAGGGATATTCGAAAACACATAAAACCATAGAGGAGAAAGGGATATGACGGGTGAGGGGGAGCCTGGAATGATGCATCTATAAGCAAGAAAATGCCAACAAGTACTGGAACCCCCCAAGATAGCTCGGAATAAGGGAAGGAGTTCTCCCTTAGAGCCTTGAGAAGGAACTATCCCTGTTCTTTTGTTGATTTGGGAACAAACAAACAAAACGGACGTCCGTGAGATCAATTCCGATGAGAGTGACCCTTTAGGAAAAGCAGAACTGCTACTGTGGGTTTCTGAGACGGTAAATCTTCACAGGAGTAGAATCCTCGTCTTTCCCCTGGAGCGGCAGCTGCAATTTCACTCTGCTGACTGGGGTTAGTAGCCTACCATGTAACCCAGTTGGCCCCCTTGGCCTCAATGTAAACAATTAGATTGGCATATGTTATCCTCTGACTATGAAAAACGAGCTAAAGGCAACCAGATTTCATCACAATGGGTAACCATAAAGGCTGGAGAAAAAACAAATCAAGTATCTATTTGAGGAGCTGTAGAAACGAACTAATACATCTAAGATTAAAGGGAAAAATTAAATAATCGCCATCCAAGAGAGATATTTCTTATAAATTCATCTCACCAAATCTCGCCATTTTGCCAAGTAGAACTCAAAGTACTCATAGCAAAGGGCTGCACATCTCCAAACAGAAACGTTAAGACCGCATTCGCAGTGCCCGGGTGAGGCAAATTTGAATTCCTCACGGAAACAAACTAAAGAAAACTCAATTTGAGATAATTTTCTCAGATAATTCAGACTCCATTTTCTAATCAAGTGGTATAAAAGAATATGCTTTGCCAATAAGTGCAAATAAATACACTTTGACTGGAGCAGTATGATTTACCTATAATTACCTGCCCAGAATGGAAAACGATGAAATTTTTGGAAAATTGTAACGTCAGCTAGGCATTCACAATATTTCATACAGAAGGTTTAATAGTCAACTAATATTTTTAGGAGCATTAACACACATACCCACACAATAGAAAAGTAATTGATACAAGCTAGACTTTAGAAAAAGGTTCATTTTTTATGTATGCATGTGGGTATGAACATATTTGTATAAATAAGGATTTTTAAATAAAAAATATATATAGACTTTAAAATAACAGTTATTACTTTGCTCAGAAAGTAAATGAAGACGTGGAAATTTAACCAGATAACAGAAACCATAAAGAGTGCAAAATTTTTTAAAATGAGAAGTAAAAAATAAAAGAATCAGCATTTATAATTATGGGAATAATTTTCATCTGTGTATATAAAACAATAAAAGTTTTAACCAACACACTAAAACAATAAAAATTAATAACCAACACAATATAGTGAGTTGAAATATTATTTATACTTTAGGACAGTATACTTTATTTATACTTTCTAAAAGAAAGGTAGGAAAGACAAGGGGGGGAAAAACAGTAGGAGCCAGATACAAGTAACTTCAGAAAGAGAATACATTTGAAAATAAATTACTTGAGAGCTTTCCAAGTTTTATAAAGCATAGAGAAAATAAAATAAAGCTTTCTCATAGTTTTCTTAAAAAGTGTGCATACAAAGGAAGCCATACCTAAATTAATCACAGACTATAAAACACAAATAAACAAGCACACATGCAACAAAAATGGAGAAAAAAATTGAAGCACAGCTAGATTATAAGAAAAGAAAAAACAATAGCACACACAAATTAGCCTCAATGGAGCTTTGCTTAGATGTATGATTGATAGTCTGGAAAGACAACTGAAGTCAGAATATTTGTAATGTTCTAAAAGAAAATAACCTTTGGCCTAGGTCTTAATAAGAAATTAAAATAAATTTTAAATTGAAGGTGAAGAAAATGTTTTCAGGTAAACATTCATACAAGGAGATCATCCAGGTTTTGCACCCAAACCACTCTCAGTATCTAGACGGCAGAAGAGTATGTGCTATCTGCACGATTACAGAATGCTTACAGCAGTGATCACCTATCTCCAAATGAGACAGAAGTGACATTTCCAATAACTAATCCTCTAGTCATATATTCATTCATACACGGTTATTGACATATTTTTAAAGTATAACACTGTACTGTTACACATGAAATACAGATGGATGTCCTATCCATATTAAGAGGAAAAGAATACAGGCATAAAGACAACATGCTATAAGATTCCACCCCAATAGGTTCATGTGTAAATAGCAATCACAGCCAGAAAGGTGCTGACATCTAGACAGGCATGTAATGACTGAGATGAACAAGGAGGCATGTCTGATGCTACTAATATTCTATTTTTTATATGCTCCGAGGTTTCCAGATTGTCCTTATTGTGGAGAAAGTAATATAGCAGAATATTTGAGATTTATATACTTTATAATATATATCATACTTTACTGAACACATATACAAAAATAGTTATGGCTCAACAGCAAAGTGACAGACACAATGCTGTGCTGTCAAAATGAATAAACACATGTAAGGTTAACTTTAGTTCTCTGATATTACTCATGAATGGCTATTGGTAACTCTTTTTATCCTAACTCCCATTCTGCCATGATTGGGGTGACTTAGATAGTTAAGGTTTATTAAGGCTCGGTGACCCTAGTTCTCAGGTCTAGTTCTCAGGTCTCTTGCTCTTTGATGGTGGGACCAGGGTGCAGCTGCCGTAGCCAGTTCCCTGCTTCAGCTGGCAAGGCTCACTTCCTGTAAGACATCCCTGAGGAAAAGTAGCATGGACCCGATGCAGCACTGGGTGCTGGAGCAGCCGGTGGAGACCCCTGCCAGTTCTGAGATGCTTACACTTCAATGATTCAGCTTTCCACTTGCAGGCAGCGTCATTGCATGTGTTTTGTGAGACTGATGAGGATTTTGTAGACTGTTGTAGGACATAAGGGCTAATGTTGGACTTGTGGGTTTGGACAGCACTGGATTGGGATGCTTTCTTAACGTACACTTACTATCTTTTATAAGAGTTTCTGTGGATTTGTTTCCCTAGTTTACCAAGACTAACACAGTGACTTTTTCTGGAATGAGATGAATGGAAAAGTTTCAACACAGTTTTAAAACAACAAGCGAATAAGGGCATAGCATTTCTCTAAGAAAAAGGGAAGATGGGTTGTTAAGGGGGCATTTTCTTTCTTGAGTGAGGAATTTTTGCGAGAATTTTTATTGATTCTGGGTAATCTCTATCCCTCCCTCCCTCCCTCCCTTCCCTATAATATGTCATTGCTTCTGTAACACATGTCCACTCACCTTGCTGTTTCTCATATTCTTGTCCCCTGTTAGGGGTTCTGCTTCATAATGGAACTCTAGCTCTGAATTCCACACAAATAGAGAGCTCCTAGGAAAATGTGCTCCTTCCAGTATAACTAAGTCGCATAGTGCATACAGGTAACTGAAATGATTTTCCAAAATTGAATTCTTTTTGTTACAGATGGTTTATAATGAAAATGACAAGTTGTGTGGGGACATGAACACATGCAAGACTGCCCCTTCTTTTTCTCGTGGCTCTCACATCACAGCAACAAATCATGATTTTCAAATAAGGACTCCAAACAACTAAACTTAAATTCATCAAAAATGCATAAAGATAGATAATTACAATGCAGGTATTTAAATTTCTGTCTACTACAAGCATATAAGAACTGCACAATATAGCACAGAGGAGCCTTTGATTAAATAAATTTAATTTTCAATTCCCTCAGATCAAATGACTAATTACATCATTCAACGATTCAATTTAATCTTTCAACTTTATGATATAATTTCTATTTTGGTTTTATTTCTACACAGTCATTTAAAACAATTTAGTATGCTTAGTGAATGTAACTTTACATTATTTGGGGATATTGTGAAGTTCATACTCACCATGGGAGAATAAATTGGAAGCTCCTTGAATGGATTAACAAGCAAAAGGATGTCCCCAATAAAAGTCTGTTGAGTAAAAGATACAACACATTCATGAACTATATCAGCAGCACTTTCAGTATTAAAATAATTTATGTAAGTTTAAATTATTATGTAAGAGAATAAGGGTGAATCACATGTGTAGATTCTGCAAATTATTTAAATGTTTATAACTAAAGGAATAGATAGCCCATTTCAAATGAAATATAACTATTAATCTTTGTCTCATGGATAATAAAACAAAGGAAATGGTTGGTTTCTAAGGATATCTGATCATAAAGAATTTTATGAAAATCTAACAATAAAAACCCGCAACAGAATTAAATTGTACGTAGGAAGAAATAAATGTGCTTAGAATAATAACATTAATAATACCCAAAACAACAACAAAAACAATCCAAACTCACTGCCATCAAATTGATTCTGACCAATAGTGAGCCCATGTAAATTTCAGCAGCCGTCATTCTTTATAAGAACTGATAACACCATTCTCTCCCACAGTACGGAAGGCAGGTTTCAGCCACCGTACTTGTGGTTAGCAGTTCAATGCTAACCTCATGGCACCACCAGGAGCCCCTATCATAATCATTATATGCATAATTTAAATGTATGAAAATAAAAGTATATTCATAATTTAAAGAAGCAAGAAAGGAGAAACAAAAAGTACAATGAACAAATGAAAAAAATTATAGATGCAAGTGCACCATTAATTACATCCAAAATAAAACTCAAAGAAACTAACTGCCATTGTGCTGATGCCAACTCATAGCAATCCTACAAGACAGGTGAGGGCTGCTCCTATGAGTTTCTGAGGTTGTAACAGTTCACAGGAGTAAATATTCTAATTAAAGACACATATTGTCAACTGGACTAAAATAGTCACTGGTTTATCTCCACCACTGGAGTTTCTCTGTGTCCTACTCTGATGGTGTGTTTGCTGCTGTGCTGCTGGAAGCGATGGCACTGGTCTTCAAGTAGGAGCTGGGTCTCCCAAGGAAACAAGTTTCAGTAGAACTTGCAGACTACAAAAAGAACATGCAGAAGGAATAGGCTGTCGACTTCTGATAAATTAGCCAATGAAAGCCTGATGGAGGGCATGGACCCATTGTCAGACACTGAAAACCTCAAAAGAGTAAGAGAACATTGTCGGAGATAAACTAAGATGATGAGGACTTCAGACTGGAAAGCCCTGAAAATACGACGGAGGGAGAACTGCATCCTGAAAGTAGATTAGACCATAAGGACCTGATGGCCAAAAAGGGACCTTCGTCCGCTGATGGGGCATTACAATTAAAAAGCGAGAAGAAACAGGTGCAAATATCAATTATTAATTGAAGCTTGGCGTGTAGGAAGTATGAATCTAGGAAAATTAGAAGTTGTCAAAAATGAAATGGAACACATAAAGATCGAAATCATACATCTATGGTTTATATATATATCTAATTCACCTTAAAGACATCCCTGCCATTTTATAATAGAGAACATCATCAATCAGCCCCCTGGGGCATCACTGCCATGGCCATCAAATCAATGCTGACTCATAGTGACCCTATAGGGCAGGGTAGAACTGCCCCTGTGAGTCAAATAGACCTTTCTTAATCAAATAAAACATATATACTACAACAAAGTAATTAATGATTAAATATGATCAAAGCTCTTCCCTGAGATTGCATGTTAAGGGATGCCTTTTCTTGCCATCTCCAGTCATGGTTTTATTGACAGTCCTGCTCCGGGAGATGATGCGAGGAAAGAAAGTCATAAGCATAAGGATTGAAAAAGGTGAAATAAAAAGACCATCATTTGCATTATCTGACAATATGTGTACACAGTCCAAAAGCATCTCCAGAGACATTGATATCACATGGGTGGATAAAGGCAAATATTAAAAAGTCAAAATTGTGTCTCCTTATATTATCCCCAAGTATTAGGAATGAAATTTAGAAGATGTCATTTATTATAGTTAGCAACAAACTATAAAGAAGCCTGGCAACAAATCTATCAAAAGATGTCAAGACTTCTCCACAAAAACTAAAAATTGTTCCTGAAAGAAATCAAAGACAACCAAAGGAGAGATAGTATAGCATGAAGTGGAAAATCAAACAGTGCAAAAATATCAATGATTCCTAATTGATGTATGGATCCAAAGTCATATTGACTGAAGTTCAAAAATTGACTTTAAAACATAAATATTAAAATCCAAGAGTATGCATTAAACAAAACAATTTTCAAGAATAAAGTTAATAGCTGTAATAATGAAGACATTTCACTATTTATTTCGACAGCATAAATCACATTGTAGAAATAGATATTATCCAGTGGGTACGGATTTCGGACAGAAGAAAACCCATAGTCACTGAGTCAATCCCCACTAGCAGTGACAAGGGCACCATTTCAAAGCAATGGAGACATTGTTGTCTTTGTAATAAAGCATGACAATCTCTGTGGGATAAACTATTGATCTTGTACCATGCGGAATTATTTCTCCATGGGTCACATGTCCTACATATGAAAGTTAAAACAATCTAACTTCAAGAAGAAAATACTGACGAATATTTTCATGACTAAAACCAAGATTTCTTAAACTTGACTCAAAAAATATTCTCTAAGCAACTTTGTAACACAACTTAGCTTCATCTAAAACCACTATTAGAATATAATGCAAACTACAAACTGAGAATGTTTATAGCTATTGTTCTAAGGTGTCCCCTAGTCTATTCTTACACATGGCGACCCTGTATAACAACCAACAACTGATGGTTGTTAAATTCAAAGGGACCACCCTGAGGACAAGATAACCAACCCATCGCTGTGACTCACAGTAACCCTGCAGGTCAGGGCAGAGCTGCCTCATTAGGTTTCCAAGGTTCCAGTCTGTATAGATGTCAGCAGCTCTCTATTTCTCCTATGGAGCAGCTGGGGGGTGGAGCCACTAACTTTTTGGTTAGGCACCAAGGGCTTAAACATCATACCATCAGGGCTCCCAGGGAAGAATATAAAATGCTAGCAAGTGGCTGAGATGAACCAAGCTGCATCCTCGTAGTTGTCATGCAACATTTATTTTCTCGGGTCTGTTTTGTGCCAGTTGAAAATGATTTGGAACGGTCTTGGCAAACCAGATGCTACTAGAATGCCTTTATTTGTTGTGTGTGTTTTTCTTTATGTTTCTCAAGTCCCACTGGTGAGTTTATAAAGGGAAAACTGCCTGCATGTTTATCTGGCATCCATAAAGGAATCTGATGGCCTATTCTGTTCTCTCTGTTACTGTCTGCAGGAATTGTTCGGGAAATGTGAGGCTTTTATTTCTGTACATTTCCTCCCAAGCCTGAGTCTCATAACCTACAATTTGTTTCCTGCTTGGAGACTTGAGAACTCCTTACAATTACCAACTGTTGTGGATCTTCTGAACCTGATGGGCAAATGAGGCTCTATACTTAGTAGAGAAATTCTTACAAATTTTTGTTTGTTCAAAGATCATATTGTTGAACAAATCAAAGTTCAGAGGTCAAATAATGCATTTACCTGAAATATTTTATCTTGGGCGTTAATAATGCTCAATTTAGCCTCAGTTGATTTTCCTTGATAAATAAATGTGAATTTTCTCTATTGTAATAGAGTCCAGATAAAATGTTTCAGCTAAACAAATTGTTGGACCAGAAATTTCAGTTTTTTCTTTCTGCAGTCGGATTTGTTACACAATCTGATGTGTCAACACATGGGACAATGTTGGTCACAGAGGTCATTCACTCACCGTCCACCAAGTAAGTAGGACCCGCTACCTACAGCAGTGAGCCCACAAAACTCCCTGCTCTTATGGAAGTTGTATTTGTGTGTGTGCACGCTTGTACATGAGTATGTGTAAGGGAGAAGAGAGAAAATGAAGAATTTAAATGATTAAATATTAAAATACGCTAGATAGTGAGAAACTCATGGAGAGAAATTAAACAAGGTAGGGCAGCAGGCAGTGCCTCATCCAATTGTAATTAAGCTATGGGCAAGGCCTGGCTGAGCAATGAATCTGAAGTGAGGGTGTGACAAGTGTGGAAGCACTGGACATCTCTCATGTCCAGGTATTCAGGTGTGTGAAGAAGTCTGATTGATGTGTTTAAGGAGAGCAGGGATGCCAGTACGGCGACAGGAAAATAAGATGAGTGAGGAGGTAGAACGCATGAGGTCAAAATTCTCTGTAGCAGGACAGCGAATCCAAGCCGCACAGGTTGTTCTCATGATTTTGGCTATATTCTAATGGAAATTGAATGGAACAGAAATGCCTGAGAAGAGAAATAATGTGGTATACTGAACATTTTAACAGAATTACACCAGCTCTTACCTTGAGAATGCACTGAAGGGAAAAGTGAAGAGAAGCATATATATTTATGCCAAAGTAAGTGAGGCTGCAGTAAGGAAATAAGATGTAATGACTGGGGTCCAGGAAGAAAGAGTGGGTATCAGTTATACATGGAACTTGAAGGGAATGGTATTGAGATGAAGAGGTAAGTCAGACGACGTATGGAGAACAAAGCAAGCATCAATATTCTTCACAAGTCCATTAGTTTTAGACCCTACAATTTGAAGTTGCTATTTACTAGCCTGGACTACCCACAAGAGGAGACGTAGCATTTCTGCTGTGATTAGGGGAGGAATACAGGGCTTTCAACTCCCCTAGAGAGCTAGAGTCTCACAAACCCACAGGAACAGTTCTACCCTGTCTATAGGGTTGCTATGAGTAGGCATCAATTTAATAGCAGTGAGATTTTTTTAACTTCTATTAGATGAAGTTTTTTCCTCCTGTAATGATCTATAGGCACTGTAACCCTGTTCTAGGGTCACTCAAAGTCAAAATGGATTTGATAGTAGTTGGTTTGGTTGATTAGACTTTTAGTGTCTCTGGTGGTACAGTGGATAATGAGTTCAGCTGCAAACCAAAATGTTGCTAGTTCAAATTCACCAGGCCCTTTGTGGGAGAAAGATGAAGAAGTCGGTTTCTGTGAAGATTTCAATCATGGAAACCTATGGGGCAAATCTACTCTACCCTATTGGGTCTTTATGAGGAGGAATCAACTCTACCACAGGAGGTTTGGTTAAGAGAATTTATAAAAAAGTACTTTTTATTTATTTTGTGGAGAAAGAACAACTCATTTTAAATTAATAGAACACTGACATTGAAAAAATAATACCATGCAAAATGCAAGCCTCCATTTGTATTAGATTCAACAGACTGAAAGAAATGATTAGATTGCTATAAACTGCTCTAAATGCTTCTTAATTCATACAGGTAGCAAAAGTTAGAGTAAGGATTGGAACTATATTAGAGCTTAAATCCTGAACACTAGGTTTGTGGAAGGCTCCGATTTACAAGTGGGAGCCCTAAATCTATTTTGAGTTTTACCACATACTGAAGTCTCCATTGAGTTGCTTCTGACCATTGCCTGGTAATGCCAAAGCCTGTGCCTTCAAACAGATGGTGTTTGCTGTGACTCCTTCGACCAACCCATGGAGGACCCCCCAGGAACTTGCCTGAGGGTGCCCATCATAGAAACTGGGGTGCCACGGTTGCACTGTCATGAGTCACGAATATCACCTGAACAATGTACTTGAAAAGCCTTGAAACCATCTTGTAAACTTTTCTAATATGAAATGGTACATGTATTCCAGCCAGAGGAACATTCCCTCTTCTGTAGACCGGCCTGAAATTGGGATGGAGCGCTCTGGTGCCAATCATGATTTTGTAACAAATACCCTTTGTCTTTCATGCTCAATAATTTAACTGGCCTGTTTTGAATCCGTTGCGCACCATGATGGATAAAATGTCTCCCCTTTGACTCATTGAAGGGGAAAATGGGGCTTTCTATTCCCGTACAGACTTACAGTCTTGGAAACCCACAAGAACAGTTCTTCTCTGTAATATTGTATCACTATGAGATGGAATTGACTAGGTGGCAGTGAATTTTGCTTTAATTTGTTTAAATTTGTTGTAGTTTTTTTTTTAGTTCTGTTTTCTTTTAGATGAACGTTTTTCTCTGTTTAATTTCATTAACAGTTGGTGTTTTGTTTTTTAGTATGTGTTTTTTTATATGAAATCCAGGATAGGTCAATCTGTAGAGATAGTAACTGGATTAATAGTTTCTTAGCATCATGGTAGGGTGTGGTAGTTACATTATCTGATGTCAATTTGGGACTTGAGGGGATTAAGAGTGAAGGGGTGGAGTCTAGTCTCAATTGGATCATAGCCAATGAGGCCTCTGTATGGGCATGGCCTTCCTTTGAGGATTCAGGGAAAACTCTAGTATTTCCTCCTTGGAGGTGGGAGACATTCTCTCAGTCTGCTCACTTCCCTGGAGACATTGACAAAGCTGGCTACCTGAGAGACATCCTTGAGGAGAAGCCACATGGACCTAACCCAATGCAGCCCTGGGTGCTGGAGAAGCCATGTGGAGGCCCCTGCCAGCGCTGGGATGCTTACAATGCCACTTGATCTAAAGACTTTCTACCCACTGCCCTGTGTTCGTCCTGCACTCAGCGTCATTGCATGTGTTTTGTGCATCAGAAGAGGACTTTATAGCTTGGTATTGGACATATGGGCTAATATTGGACTTATGGCCTTGGACTGGACTGGGTTGGGATGTTTTCTTAATGTCTCTCTTATATACATATGCATATTTATGAACAATGAGTACAAGAAAAAAGAAAATTCTCTCAATACCACTCTTTTTAGTATGTTTAAACCATCAAATTGCATAATAGGTGAAGTATATGCCAATAAAACTGTTAAACAAAAAAGGCCTCCCATCCCCAACTAACTAAACCCACTGCCTTTGAGTGAATTCTGACTCAGAGAGCCGCGAAAGTACTTTCAAGGCTTTAAATATTTGTGTGACTGTGCAGATGGTTTTATTATTCTATCACAGAGTAGATGTTAGGTTTGAACTGCAAACTTTATAGTTTGCTGTGTAAAGTCTACCCAACTGAATTTGGGGTCTCTTTCCCCCTATAAGAGAACCACAAACTACATTTTGAGAAGCATTCTCTATCGCTTGATAATATTTAACTTGCTTAATTAACCATTAAAATTAAATTCAGATATTGTGATTTCGAACACTCTCTTCAAGCAATTGCCAGTAAACTCTTCTTCCCTAATATTCCAGGCAGGGGAGGAGGAAAACCATGCTTTCTTCAGAAGCCCATGTATATTTTACATGATCATTCACAAAGACTGGCATGTTAATCCTGATTATGCTCATGAAGAAATGGAATTGAGCAAAAAGCACTCTGAAGGCCCTTTCTGTATGGAGAAATCAGATCCCTGAGTTCTCTTAACAGGTTAGTTGGAAATATTTACTAATTAAAGTTCTGTGCATTAATTAACCAACAATGAGGTATATAATCACAAACTGTGATAAGTGTTTTTAACAAGTCTGGGCTACAATGATTTCATTAATCTCACAAAGATCTGGAAAAGTTTACTTTGTCGCTAAATGATCTTAGTTGGGCCTTTATGAAGCAGAACTTTACAGAAGAAAAAATACCAGTCTTTAAAAGTTCTTGATGCCAGGAGGAAGGTAATGATAAATTAAATTTCATATAAATTGCACTGTTCAGCTTTCAATTCATAAGGAGTTTCAACCTATATTCTAGATTTTAGAAAAGATTGCAGCCTTATTTCATTGAAAAAGGGTAAGTCATAGGAGAGTTTAGAGACTGGGAGGACTAAAACTTACATTTATACTTTGAAAAACTTGTTCTATTTCCCTGTAAGGAGTGGACTGGAAGGGGAGGGAGTTTTCCCTGGGCAGTGCGGTGGCTGTTAGAGAAGTGCAGGGAAAAGACGGTGGTGTTTTTTATGAGGGCAGAGCTCATTCGGCTGGAGAGAAATCGATTCAATGACTATTTAGAAGGAAAAGAATTTTGAAGAGCAAAGCAAAAAAATAAAGCATTTTAAGCAATTGTCTGCAGTATTGAAAAATGCAAAAAAATAGGTTAAAATAAAAGTATTAACACAATGCTGAGAAAGCCAATAGAGTAAAACAAAATGATTTCACAAAGTAATAGAAAGGTAGTAGAGACTTAAGTAATCAAGTTTCACCACTCTATACCAATGAATCAAGTCCATTTAGTTTGATAGAAGTATTTAATTTTAAGTGTATTTACAGTGGTGGGCAATTTATCTGAGCATTGCGATGCTGTATTGCATTTTCATAGGATAATCAGCATTTGACAAATTATTACTTGTAGGGAAATGTCAGACTACACATTTACATGAAAATTGCTTAATCAATTTTTCAGGAGACTAGGGAAAAAAACGAATGTTATCCAAAAACAGAATAACAGAATGTGCATAATCATTTCTTCTACAGACATTCTGATGAACTGCTCTCTGTGGAATACAGCCAAATCTGAGTGGAAGGGAGGCAAAGAGGCAGGAAGGGAGGGAGGGACTAAGACAGAGACACACACA